AAAAATCTACTTCTGCTCTAGAACGCACTCGCAATTGAACCAAGTCGTGAAAGAGGTAAAGAAGACGAAGTTCGCTGATCAACTTCGCGTCGTCACCCTTGGTTCGAGAAAGACGCTGTGTGTCAACGATAGGGTATCCACGCTCAAGTCATCGAATGCTATCAATGAAGCGTGTTTGCAAATGCAACTGAAATCATCCTCCAAGATCACAAAGGCAAAAGACGGCCAGCGTCGAAAGTGTCCCTCGAAATGTCCGTATTTTCGACCTGAAGCCATTCAGCGACTGGCAGATATCTACATACGTGACATTGAGGATCTGACTGCTGCGGGTCGCCGAATGGCAGCGTGCCCTTACTATGCCAGCCGATATGCCGTGGCCGCCGCTGAATTGGTACTGCTTCCCTACCAGATGATTCTGCACCAGACTACAAGAGAGTCGTGCAGTCTGCCTCTAGGGGGCAATGTGGTGATTATCGACGAAGCCCATAATCTCCTGGACGCGTTGGACGAGATGTACAGCTCCGAGGTGGACGGCCGACTGTTAGAGCTGTGCTCCGTTCAACTGGACCGATATTTGGGACGTTACTCGAAACGTCTGAACGCTAAAAACCTCGTCTACGTCCGTCAGCTGTCGCTAGTAGTTGCCAACTTTTTAAAGTACCTAAAGACTAACAGTGATAAGAAGGGTGATTCTCAGGTGATGACGATTAATGATTTTACGTTCACCACGGACACGGATGCGGTGAACTGGTTTAAAGTGATTCGCTACGTTGAAAAGAGTCAGATCTGCCGAAAAATGCGCGGCTTTGCCTTAAGGTTTGGCGAAGAAGTCAGAACCGCTTCAGACGAAGGTTCCGGAGCTTCCGGTAGTATGCTTCCTGCTGCCGGATGTTTCGACACATTGGTCTCGTTTCTGCGCGCCATTTCAGGGTCCAGTAAAGATTGTAGACTTATATACTTTAGAGGCGATCAATTCGTTTGTGGGCGACTGAAGATAGTTTGCCTGAATCCGGCGGCCCACATTCGTAACGTACTCGACGAAGCGCATTCCGTGATTCTGGCCGGCGGTACTCTCGAGCCCGTAGACGAACTTTACGACAGACTGTTCGACCTGTGCTCGATCGCGCGAAGTCGAATATCGCATTTCAGCTGTGGTCACATCGTGCCGAAGGAAAACCTATTGCCGGTCATTGTGTGCCGGGGACCCCGTGGCGGCAATATGCGGTTCAACTACCAAACGCGAACGCAACCTGCCCTCATGACAGAGCTTGGCCAGATTTTGATTTCGCTTGCTACAGTAGTGCCCGGCGGGGTCGTGTGCTTTTTCTCATCCTACGGCTACCTTTCGGCGGTCTGCGATGCGTTGTCTTCGGATAGCATGCTACAGGAACTGGAGACGCTCAAACGTGTTTTCATAGAGCCCAAAAACGCATCCCAGGTGCCCAGCTTGCTCAAAGAATACGCAGAGAACGTACAGGCCGGAAAGAAAGGAGCGATGCTGTTCG